GTCAATTTTGCTTTCTTTCTATTTTCTTAGGGATATTTTGACACAAACAACTTAGTTCATTACTATATTAAATAAGTTAAAGTCTCTAGAGAATTATATGTATATGTAGGTTATTGAGATGCTGCACTCGGTGAAATAGACCGAGTAATTATTAATTAGTAATGCGGTGAAATAACTTTCCATTAAGCACACATACACATGAGTGTGTGTGTAATTACGTGCAGGTCAACAATTAATAATCACCCATTACATTGCATCGAGTGATTATGTGATTAGATTGAAATAAAAAGGCATCGGCGCGGGAATTTGAATTCAAGTCATTTGACTCTACGCTTTTCTACATCACCAATTAGGCCACTTTTACAGGTGTTTATTGTAATTTCATTTATAATTGTTGATCGAGAGAACTCTTAGAAGAATAATAGGCATACGACAAATCTCACTTAAGTGTAACATCGAGTAAACAATGTTACTAGTTGAATTCGAATCCCATTGTTAATGGTCGTTAGATCGAGCTTGTCACACATCTCTCATATGATTTACAAGCTATTATATTAGAATTAAAGTTTACCCGGTGCACATATACAAAATAATTGAACGATTTTCTTGACGGTTTAAAGACGATCTGTTTAATTGACAAGAAAAATAGATCATGGGTCCATATATATATATATATATATATATATATATATATATATATATATATATATATATATATATATATACATATATATATCTTGATTTCTAATGTAACAAAATAAAAATAAAAGTTTGACAGACTCAATTAAATATTGGAATTCAAGCATTTATTACATGTCGTCTTTTATATGTTGGCCAAAAGTTAGGACCACTTCAAATTTCAAAAACCAGTTGTACAATAGCCTACTCTACATGCATCAATAATAATAATTCAATTCATACAAAGCCAAAGCAAATATTTTTCAGTCTTAATTCAACTTCTTGTGATTCATATTTCTAATATAATCATTAGTTAATAGGGAAAATTACGACCAGGCCCTTGAGATAAAGTTAAATTAAGAAAAAAAACCTTATGTTTGAGTAATTTACAACCACCCCCAATTATGTATTGTCTTGCAAAAAAACCCCTCTTTAATAGGTAAATTTGACTTCGTAAAGGTGGACGTGTAAGACGGTACATAGTTGATGGGTACGGTTGTAATTATCCAAACATGAGGGGTTATTTCATAATTTGGTCTTACCTCAGGGGGTTGGCCGTAATTTGCTCATATTGTCATAGTATTTATTCCAGCTCTTATACTTGGTATACATACATGATTTATGTATGGGTAAATTACAACCACCCCCATGAGGTATGGTCAAATTACGAACCCCCTCCCCCGTTTGAGTAATTACAACCACCACCTTCAACTATAAATCTTCTAACACGTCCATCCTTGCGGTTTTAAATTTAGTGGAATCTTCGAAATTATATGGAATATTATCACTTTTGTACCCGTTTTATCCCGTTCGAACTCCACATTTTGAAGCAAGATGATCATAATATGCGTTTTTGACTTGTATATATCAGATTGTGGTGCATCAGAAATTGTATTTTTACACAAAACGAGTACAAACTAGAGCACATTCCACGAAATCTAGATGATTATGCTGAATTTGACACAATAAGGGTGGAGGCGTGGAGGTGTAAGAAAAAAACATAATTAAGGGGATATATGTAAACAAGAGGGATTTTTTCGAATATTACTTATACCTCAGGGTGGTTGTAATTTACCCTTTATATATTATATATTTGCCATCGAAAAAAGTGACGAAAGAGGGTTGTATTGGGAAATTGTACAAGTACAAGGGGGTAAATCGACGAAATTAAGAGTACAAGGGGGTAAAGTGGTTCTTGGACAGAGTACCAGGGGTAAAGTGAAATTTACCCATATTATTACTAAGGAACAATTACAAGTACAGAAAATTAAATGGTGGTCATTATTTATTTTTATTTTAATTCTGATTTGACAGATCGATCAGACTCTCTCTCTCTCTCCCTCCTCTCTCCCCCTCTCTCTCTCTCTCTATCTATCTCTCTCTCTCTTCTCTCTCTCACACAGACACACACACAGATACGTAATTGTCAGTGAAAGCTGAAGACAGACATCTTTTTCATTTATGTATAGCCTTTTGTCCTTACATTATTTTCTGCAACTCCCTTTGGACTATAATGTATATTTATGTATGCATCTTTGTAATTTTTTTATTTTAATTTCATTTTATTTGATATAAATAAAATATATATTATTAAAAAAAATTAAATTAAATTCTGTTTTTCATTGTTGCCCAATTAGCAACCACAGAGAGAACAAAGGCCTAGAAGATTTTGCTGAAAAAGAGGGCTGTCACTTCTTTAACATACATATAATTATATATCACAACTATCACATCCAAAATCTTCAACCTCGTCTACTTAAAAAAGAATCATTCTTAAACAGAATCTTATTATTTTGGGATTATATTCATTTTTGTTATTTTTATTACAAGTTTTTTGTTAGATGCTATGAAATGAAAATTTGTTTATATTTTACCATTTTTGGTTTATGGGGTAGGAGTTAATATATCATGTACGTCATGTTGTAGTGCACACCACTCATGCACGAATATGACTACATATAACTGTGTAACACTGTATATTTCAGTCAACTCGCTATTTACGCACCGGAAGTTCACTATATTTGTTCGGCATTGAGGACATACTGCAATTTCAATCACGTAGTTAAGTTTGGGTTATTGTTTTAATACCATTGTTGGGGCCCACGGGCTAGCACAAACTCTATATTAATATCGTATTGTCTATTTTGGGCCGAGTTCAATTGATTTTGCTCTTGAGTTTTCCCAAAAGGTCTCATACCATTAAAATTGTTATCCCCTTCTTATAAACGAATGATATTTTTCCATATTAAACAATATGGGAAATTAAATTGAATACTAAACACAAAATTTATAACCCAACCCCTCCTTATAAACGAATGATATTTTCCCATATTAAACAATATGGGAAATTAAATTAAATACAAAACACAAAAATTTATAACCATTTGGGTTGTCTTTCTAATTCAACTGGATGTATTTTTTTTTATTTTTTTTTTATAATTATCTAATTTGGATGTCAGGTGAGAGAGTTATGCATGAATGAATTAACATCAACAACAATTTTGGTATTTTGAGTTTTCTGATATTCAAATTGTAACTCTTTCGTGCATAACTCTCGCTTGACATTCAATCCAACTGATTTAAGTTGGATTAGAAACCTACTTAAATAACCACAAATTAGGTGCCTAAGTTTTGCCAAATTCAGAATCGAAAGATGGGAAATCACATTTGAAGTCGGAACGATACCAACAAAATTGAAACAACGTTTAACATTTATATATATTTATAAAAAAAAAAAGGAGAGAATTTCCAAAATTATTTCACAAATTATCAGAAATAGGAATCGTATGTATTCCAATTCCGATCTAAAAGAAATATTTGAAAAGAAAAAAACTAGAAATGAAAAAAAAGTTCCAAATTCGATTTCTTTTACTCGAAATTCACATATTCTGTTTCAATTTTCATCCCCAGTCCGACTCAAAAAAGAATCTCATATTATTTGAAATAGAAGATTCTATTTGTAAAAGTAACATTCAAACCACTAAACATTACAACAACCAAATGATAGATAAAAAAAACCATTTGTTTTGTTGTTATGTTTATTGCTTAGATTGTGTCTGTGACAATGCAACTGTCACCCACCTGTCGTTGTTACTTTACAGCAAAATCCCATGCCCCTCAAGAACAGTGTTTGCATTCATGTAAACCAACATATTATGTGTACCAACAAAATAGATTGACAGATATAGATGTCTATTATGTCATCTCTGTACTTAGGCAGCCACAGTATACCTAATTCAAATAAATAATTAAATTAATTAATTAAAAAATAAGTAAATTAAAAAGCAAAAACCCCCAAAAACAATTTTTTTTTTCCAGAAAATAAATTATCTCGAATAGAGAAAAATCGTCTAGAGGATTTTCCTGAAAATAGTTTCCCAAAATGAAATTAATTTTCGACTAGATTTGACTCTAGCCAACGGATCAGATCGGAATTAGTACTTTCAAATTCAGTTAAAAGGAAAAAAAAAAACGAAAAATCTTCGGAATTTTGATCGGAACTAAAAAAATCCGTTCTTTTATTCACCTACACAATACATAACACATAATAAGATAAATATTAAGAATATTATTTTCCCAAAAAAAAATTCCGAAATTTCCGAAATATTTTCTAAAATAATATATTTTTTTTTATTAAAGTCGGCGGAAATCGGAAATCGAAAATCTCGTTCCAATTTCTACTACCACCCCCAACACACACACACACACACACACACTCATACACACAAAAAACAAGAATCATATATGATATGCACAAAATTCACACACACAAAACACACACTGAAGTGTGACATTCATTCATCAAAAAGCAGGGGACTGAAACATGTTTTTAGCATCTCGTAGGCTTTGTCTTTTCTGTGCATATAATTCATTCATCATTCACATTGTATAGCACGTACGGCATTTATACATAGATTAGCTACCACACTATATCTATATATATACATACATACACATATAGCTATATAGATAAGTACCTCTCAGTTGAAAATAATACACACACAAAAACAAAAAAAAAAAAAAACCAACACACATACTCAGTGGTGAAAACTGTGCAGCTCACCTATGAGATCGACTCCAGGTACTACATACATATATATATATATATATATATATATATATATATATATATATATATATGTGTGTGTGTGTGTATGTATTCCCATACTTGGGTGTTGGTGAAAAAAAGAGAGACAAAAGTCAAATATTGGACCTAGTTTTCTGTATAGCTACTACCTAAATAAAGTTGTCACCTTAATCACACACTTTTGGAGCTACATTGGTAGGGAAAGATTCTGACTCTCTCTCTCTCTCTAACAATCAATGAAAAATGAAATTTTTATGAATCTCTACTTTAAAACTAATATATAGATTCAGTATATAATTTCAATATAGGCCGATGATTAATTGACGAAAATTATAATCATCTAATATGTCGTTTGCGCAACGAAGTAACCAAAATGCATATAATTGATTGGAAAAAAGAAAAAGAAAAAGAAAAGACGGCCGATTTTCTCTCACTTACTTTTGAACCAAAGTAAAATGTCCGTTCACTTTGAGAGCCAGTAGATGATGAGGAAGAGCGTACAAGCAGCGATAACAGCGGAGAGGATGAGAGTGTCTCTTGATTTTTTTCTTCTGATCGAGCCTGTGAGGGGGATTAGGGAATATTCGAATAATCAAGTACGGAATTTTCTATTTTATTTTTTTAAAGTAAAATATTTTTATTCGGAAAGTTTACCAATTAGACCACGAATGACTGGGAATTTGTCGCCGAGTATCTTGACTTTTCCTTGAACGTCTCCGAATAAGGTCCTTTGAGAACCCAAGGCAGCTCTAGTTGCTTGAGCTTGACTAATCACATCATCAATCTGATAACAAGTTTGACCGAAATTGCCGATGAATTAAAGATGCATAATTGTACAAAAGCTGTAAAGGGTTTTATGTCGAAAGGCCAAAAGCGTAAAAAAAAGACAAACAAGAGATATTTCTTCACTTCTGATATGTCAAGTGATTCATGCATGTACTCTTTCTTCACTGGGGCCAAACAGTAAAAGTTTCATTGCCACTAAGAAACCCCAAAATGTCAAATTTCGTCTTCTACTAATCGTTTTATTGACTTGGGCCCCTCGTTTGGTTGGTAAGATTAACCATGATTAATTAAATAATTAGACATTATTTGATGTTTGGCTAGTCCAATAACATTTTGGGTCGGCCCGCAATCAAATTTTCGTTAGTGGGAAATTGTGTATTAGACCTCCTCCAGTCCAATTACACAATTGGGTTCTCATAAAATTCGGTAATCTCATCTTGGCTAAGCCTATCTTGACAACCAAACGAGGACTAGATGAATTAGAGAGCCAATAATTCGATTAAATTTCACTCGCATGGAAGAAATAGCAGCAGGTTCTAACACTATATTGTCCAAGAAACCTCAGATCTGGAACATGTTAAATAATCTTGATATTACAGTTACAGGTTATAAATGGCTGTCTACTAGTTTCCACAGGGTAAATGCATTCGAACCGAAATGCATATTCAACCCTCATCCAATGAAACAATTCTCACTATGCCACCTAACCATATCACGAAGCAAACATTTTCTTCTGTAAAATTCACCCAGATATTACAATATAGCCACACAAAAAATAAAATAAATAAAAGAAACATAATATAGCAGCTCATAGATCTTACATGAGATATGCTTCCATGTATGGCAGCTCTCTCACGTAATAATTGCATTCTTGGAGATACGCTGCCAGAGGCCTGCATAACAAATTATGAACTGTTAGCTAAAAGGGGCAATTATGAACAAATTTGTTCACATTCGTAGTTGTATTAAAATGTTCTTACCTTGTACTCACTGATATCGTCTCGCACAGAACTAAGAAGTTCTGCATGTTCCTTCATTGAGTTAATATTTCCCTTGATACGCCTAAATTCCTAGAGAAATAATCTTAAGTCAATTTGACCAATCTGCTGTATCATTATTATAGTGAAACGGAAAGAACATTGCTAAATAAAAAATAGATATATGTGTGCGTGTGTGTGTGCGCGTGTGTGTGTGTATTTAAAGGAAAAAAAGGGCTTCATGGCATATTGGTACAAAGCCATGCAGATACACGAACAATTTAGTTCAAACTCTTTGGAGTCCTAAATTTCATAACCACGATCCAATAGTTTCTAATCTGCCACATCCCAAATTATCATAAGAACGCAGGTTCAGGAAAATGGAGGTATAAACCACTAGAAGTTGATTTCTGTTGCATGTGAAAGAAAAAAACGAATAAAATAAAATATAGGGGTATAATGGATTTAATCAGATTTTGATAAATCGAATATATAGTGGTAAAAGCTAAGACACTAACTTTAGATGATTTATAAGTGACCACATCACTTGTAAATGTATTACTGGTTCATTAGCTGAAAAGTTTTATATGTCAATCCATAAAGATGTGCAAAAGCTCAAAAGATTCACTATGTACAGAACTAGAATGTGGGACCACCTTTCAGATGATGCAGCTATATCCTTCACATCTTACAAGTCCACTAACAGTTTCACCACTTTTTGGAATATTAAAAAAAAAAAAAAAATACAGGACAAGTATACTCGGATGAGATTCCAATCAGCCTCAGACATAAGCAACATACAAGTGCTTCATCACTGTGGCAGAGAGTTACTTTTTATTGAACACCAAGAGATCATCCGAACAAGATCTTACATATTTATTGATCTCTCATGGGAAGAAAAAAAACACTTGTTTATCAGAAGCACAGGAATGCGCTCAACATAAAAAATATTATTAGGAAATTTTAATATAGCAATTCATCAATCAGATATCATCCATGAACACAGAAGCCAATGCTATAAATTTCCGTAATGCATAGATATTAAGATATGATAGCTTAACTATGGTCCGCAAGTATGGTCAAACGCTCCAAGAAATTCTGATGAGAACCTCAAATGGGAGAGTAAAAAGGGGACCAAGTATTAACTGTATAAAGAAAATCCCGTGGACCAAGTACCAGGCCATGTGTATAGCTATCACTACCCACCCAAAACATGCAATTTTGACTCATCAAGATTCAATATATTAGGTGCTAAGTTGGAATTTCATTCTAACAAACAATTCTTGTAGTTAGTAGGAAGGACATTGTCACTTAATAATTCTGGATTTGATGTCGCAGACAACAGATTAAACTGACTGTCTGAAAATATTCGCAAAAGGATAAGCGCTAGTGTGTGATCCAATCAACACCATAATACCTATTCCGGATTCATCATTATTTTGAGCAGAAAGGCAACAGAACAAAGTAAAGCACAAGACCTTTTTACTGAAAAAATATATATTACTTCAAATCATAGAGTAACGAAAAGATCACACATGATAGGAAAATAAACCTGGGTAAACTCATGCAGTATGTCCCTGTGTCTAGCAAGCTTTTGAGTAACTGAAGTAGTAGGAGCAGCAGAAGCAGCACATCGACTCATAGAATCATTTATATCAAGTAGCTTCTCCAGCAAGGACTCAATCTCCATGTCCATAGACTTCCATGACCTGCTTGAGCCAAGAGTTGGTGAACCAGAATCCACATGACCTGGAAACCAGTCCAACGAAATGGTTTCGGTTTATTTTAGCAGGATTTTTTCTTAAAAGGCAAAAACATTTGATCACATTCAGAAAAAAAGGAGATGACTCGCTAGTCACTTGTGCTGAAAAACAAATATGCTTGAAATTATAATGTAATGATCCTAAACATTCGTCTAGGTTCCAAAATAATAGTAAATGAGTGCAAAACATACGTCCATATGCAGCACAAAATTTACTGACAAGGAATGCAAGCCCAGCTCCCAGAGCTAATTTTGTCTGTTTGACATACTTCCCAAAACCAAGAACTATCATGTAATCAAAATTCAACTTTTTAGCAGGCACAACTCCGGAGTGTTAACTGAAACTCACTTCTGAGGTAGCTGAAAAGATGCTGCTATAACTATATAATAGAGTTATTTTGATCACCTGTTTTCATCTTCATTGAGGAACAGCTGAAGAAGTAGATAGATTTATAAATTATAAGGGCTTCTACGTATCTCTCAAATTTCCAACTCACGGAGAAGAATTTCTTAATTTAAAGTTACTTTATAACGGGTGGTAAAAGCCACCGAGCAAAAATGAAGTTACTCGAATGGTACCAGAAGGCAGAATGCATCTACAACCATGTCTTGTACAAATCGAACCTCATATTTCCAACTGTTAAGACAATTGCTCCACATACTGAAAATTTCGATATTACTAGAGCTTCTAATTATCAAATTGATATTACTAAAACCAACACCTACATCGTCCTTCTTTCGACCAACGAACAAATTCACAATCTAAAGTCATTCATCAAATTTCGCACCCCGAAAAGCAGCATGAGACAAAATTACTGTACTAATTACACAAACCAAACGATCAATAACAATAAGCGATTAAAAATCAGAAATCGGCCAAACGTAAGCTCATATCATAAATCATGAAATTCAAACCCTCATAGATGTGCAGCAATAAAAAATTTGCTCGATCTGTAAAATGGTTAGAATTCAAAATTGTACAGGCTCAATACGATTAAAAAAATTGCGGAATTCACAGTATCAGAATAAATCCAACAGTCAACAGCAAAAACAACAGATTAATGAAAATTCGCGGCAGATTTTTCTCAAGTGGAATTCGTACCTCCTTGGTTGAAACGAGCGCCGAGCTTAGCGTAGGAAGATAGCTTGACATCGAGATCGCCTTCGATTTTACGGGCTTCTTTCCGGAGCTCCTCCCAACCCGATTCCTGCAGCGCATCCATATTCTGAGTGTGATCTACACGGATCCGACCCGTTTCCTGGACTGCTGCTTCCCTTCGACTGTGTACGGGTTATGACCCGAATCCGGTAGTTTGTTAACGGTTGAATAATTATGGAATCCGAGGAGCACAACACAGTGTGTATGGTGAGAGAGTGATGCAGCAGTTTGAATCAGAAATGCGAGGAGAAATCTTCACTTTCATTATTTTTCATTTATTAATATTTTCTTCACGAAAATGGTCCATTTTACCCTTTTACCTTTCGTAATATTTTTCTTGGGAAAAATTCAATTTTCGTCCCTCAAGTTTGCACTGATTACACATTTGGTCCCATTTGTTTATAAAAAATACATTTGGTCCCTCCTGTTTAAAAAATTCAACACATTTAACCCTTTCCGTCAATTTTCCGTTAGTGCTAACGGAATCATGCTTGTGCCTTTCACTGCCTTAACTGGCGGACTAACGGTAAATTGACGGAAAGGACATAAAATATTGAATTATTGAGACATTAATGATTAAATGTGTTTTTTGTGAACATGAGGAACCAAATGTTAAATCGATGTAAACTTAAGGGATGTAAATCGTATTTTTCCCATTCTTTTTGTGTTCCTAATTTATTTGCTTTCTTTAATTACTTACAAAAACTCATACATTGGAAATATGAATTTTGCGGAATTTATATTGTTTTATTGAAGTCCAAGTTATATACCACACCAATGGATAAAGTAGGACCTAAGTAAGAAGAAATAGTTATAAAGGGATCTTAATTGGAAAATGATAAAACAAAAGGAACCCGCAAACAATTATATAGGTGCACTGGGTAAACTTACACTATAGTATAATAGCTTGCATTGCAAACCATACGAGAGATCGTCAACGCTAACCATATGTGACGATCACACATATTAAAATATGTACAAAGTGGATAATTATCTATACACGTGCTTGGTGAGATTTAATTCGATAAAATTTATCGAAAATAGCATCGAGAATCAACACATGAAATAGGCTCATGTTCATTAATCATTATAGCTTTGAGGTTTTCACCCTTTCATTAAGCCTATTAATTAGGCAAAGTTCATACTTACTTGAGTTCATACTTACTTAAGCTTTAAAACACACACACACACACACATTGCAAGAAAATTATACTGCTAAAATCCAGCAGATCCAACTAAGGAAGAGTAGGAAGAATTTTCGTCGGTGGACACAACTTTCTGTCGAACAATATCCTTCTTCGATTTTATCTCGGTACCATTTAATAATGTTTGTGCATTTCCAATATTAGCCATTTCACATAACTGTACCTTTCTCTTCTTCGCTTCTTCCACATCCCCTTCCCAACAAGTCTCCGTAATAATTTCGTTCGCTTCATCTAATTTCTCCTCTTCCATTAGACTCTCGTTTTCCAGAAGAACAAGATACACTTGTTCAGCGGCAGATTTCCTGATCTGAAAACGAAAAAAAAATTGTCTCAAAATATGATATAGAATACAAATAACTCATAAGAAATTCAACTTTTATTTTGGCAATTGTAGACCTTGGGATATCTGTGGCCGAGGAAAGTGAGTAGATGGGAGAATGCCCTTGTGTTTATAGGGTCCGAAATTGAAGCAATATATCCGAGTATTGCAATTCCTGCATTTAGTTTGGAGAAGTCCTTTGTTCCTTTTAACTCTATAGCCACAGAATCCAAAACTCCCGCGCAGAAGACTGGAGTTTGAGCCTGTGAAATAAATCATTTAGATGCATTATTGAGAAAGTAGGACTGTAAAAATGGGATATTTTCAATGAAAATTTCATTTTTTTAAATTCAAAAAAATAAGATGAAAAAGATAATTACCTCCATGTTCAACAGTAACTTTCGGCTGAAAAGGATCTCGATAGTCTGAAACAAAGATGCATTAAATGGTAAAAAAATTCAAAACACACACAATTAATACATACAATATATATATATATATATATATATATATATATATATATATATATATATATATATTACCTTCAAAGAGGGAATAATGACTCTATCACATCTTCGATATTTCTGAAGCACCCATAGAATATCTATTGACAGACTGAACTGTCTCGAGTCATCAAGAAGATAGTCTAACAAAGAAGTGAGTGATGCCTTCTTCAAAGAATCTTGTAAACCGCCAATAGATATAACTAGCCCCGACACAACATATTTACTATAACAATCAAATTGAAGAAGTTGTACAAAACGAGGATACGAAAACGTCGGCACCTGCATGGAAAAATTAGAATAAATAAATAAATATATATTTATCAGCAAATACTAACAGGATTCACTTGCTATTTATTTTAACTCACCCCCCACTTAAAATCAGCCTCGTCCGGAACTATATTTTCGAGAGTATCCCTTTCTGGTATATGTGGGACGAAAGTTGTTTTATTGTATAGAATTCTCTGGAGAATCTTTGCTGCTGATTCCCTTATTTTATCCATTTTCTCCACAGCTTGCTTCAAAATGCCTCCAACTAAATCATTTGCCAAAACGGGATCGAAATACGAATCTTTTTCTTGATTTGTAGAATCCCTCGTGCACAGAATATATGTGCATTTTTCAAGGCCATCCATTGCAGCCTCACGTACCCAAGAACCTACATCGCCCCTGTTGTCAGTGGAGTAATCATCCAGAGCTTTAAAAAGACTGCACATAACTTCATTTCTGATGAAATGGAATAGGTTGGACTCGTCTTCTTTGGTAAAGCAAGATTCTCCAGCTTCGGTTAAGGTTTCACAAACAGATACAAGTCCTTTGACAGCATTGACTCGTGCTTCAGCGTCCCTTTCTTCAGCATTATTCTGAATAAAACCAGAATCATTTCGTCAGAAAAGAATGAGGGGTGAAAATTGGAATGGAATTTCCGATTTCCACAGATTCCGATCCAAATTTTTCCGACTTTGGAACAGTATTTTTCATTCAGGATTCTCAAATTCCGATTTTTCCGAAATTTCTAAATAAATATAAGATTCCGATTTTCGATCCGATTTCAAGTCCGAGAATTCCGATTTGTTTTATGAAATCTACGCTTATAATATCAAAATTATTATGTATTTTGTATTTCAGGTGACTAAGAATTGGAATTTTTAGAATTCCGCTGATTCCGATACGAATATTTCCGATTTCGGAACTATTTTCTCATTTTAATTTCCAAATTTCCGACGTCCAATTTTTCCCCTTTTTTTTAGCAGAACTGGAATCAGATTTTCACTTTCGAAAAAAATCGGATTTTTTTCCGAAAGTGCTAATTCCGACTCGATCCGTCCGATTTTCATCTCTAAGCATAACAATGCCTTCGAAATTTTTTTCCAACTCTATATGGATTCATATATTTACCCTCCTCTATTTCTCATTTGTAACAGGACTTGAATGCAAGAAAAAAAAAACGAAGGAAAAAGAAAAACTATACACATACCTCAATTTCACAGGAAGAACAGAGTTTTGTCAACACAGATTTCCACCCTTGAGACAGAAACTCGAAAGGCAGAACACCTAGTGCAAGAGCCGATCCTCGTCTTGCAGCAACATTAGGATCAGACAACTGTGCAAGATATCTTGAAATGATATCGTTCATTCCCTTGTTGTCCATGGATATCAGGTAAGCAGGAATGTAGTGTTTAAAGGCTTCAATAGCAGCATTCTAAAAGCACGAATAAAAAGAATTTATTCAAGAGACAGAAGAATACGAAGATGCACCTGTAAGTAAGAGCTTTATTTTACTAAGGGAAAAAAGGACCTGTATGTGAGAATTAGGATGTTTCATGTTCTCGTTGAGCGTATCAAGCAAACTTCGTTTTATCTTGTCAGTCAGAGATATTTGAGCTTGGGAAATGCACTCGATGAAACGAGAAACAGCAGAGCGCATTATTTCCCCTCCTTTACCACGGTAAAGACGTGCTTTCTCAATGGAGGGAACTATACCAGCAACTACTATTTGCTTATCTGCAAAGAACAAATGCGAAGGAGGAAATTACTGATAGTGCATATAACTACACTCCAATTAGTGAACTACGTAGGATCTCCCTTGAGGATTGCGTAAGCTACTTACTGCACCTTCGTTAATACATAGAAAACAAAGAAACACTAAGCTGTAGCATGTATATAATACATAGAATCAAGTGCATGTGGGTACAAGAAAGTTGCATCGGGATAAAAATTGCAACAAATTGTAAAAGGTGTGTTCTAACCTGTGGAAAGAGTATAGTTGTGCTTATGTAAAGCCAACACCACCTCCGCAGAGGCCAAGGTTGCACCGTGCCGCATGCACAAATCAGACGATAGAGTACAAGGAACTAATTTCTCCAAAACTACATTAGCAAAATATTCCGGCTCAAATTTCACAAGAAATGACATGGCAGTTGCTGCAAGTTCTCTCAAACCCTTGTCCTGCACATTGAACATAATTTGTCAAGCATTAGCTAAACCAATATGTAGAGACACAGATTTATACATTGTGTATTGCAAAAGAAGTACATCACAGCAAGTAGCAACAACATTAAGTAGATAGGAACAAATATCAACTGATATTTGATAATATATTTTTGTATGCAAAGTATGGAAAGTTCATTTAATTGATAAACTGCGGTATTGAACTAGAAAAGGAACAAGAAAGATACATACCCAGTGGCAAATCTTACTATTCAACAGCACATCCACAAATTGATGAAGGTAGCCATCATATTGAGCAATGCCAACAGCAACGTGAAGGTACGAGTTTGCTCGAGAGGAAAGGGCAAAATAGTCAGCTGTATTTACTATATCAATGCCATGGGGGAAATTTCCTTGTCTCCCGACATTTTCCTGGAAAGCAGCTGCTGCTGCTCTTCTGCAATTAACCTAAACAGTAAGCTCACAGACTCAGCACTATGACAACAAACTCAAAACGAAAATTAAAAGAATTATCTGTTCTTGCAAAGAGAAAACTTATGTTATATAATTAATCACCTCACGGTCATAACAGGCCACGGTTAGAAGATGTGGTGCCAGCTGTTCCAGCACATCTTTCATGTCTCTGTGGAAATAGGCACGACCAAAAGCCCAGCAAACATAAGCCGCAGCATCACGTACATGAGATCCAACACTATGAGGTCCTCTTCGAATATCATAATGTAAAGCCTGTAAGAATAAATCAATAAATAAATAACTTGCTGAAAAGAAGAAGAGGAAAAATGCAGTTCTCCATTTACACCATAGATAAATACGCACAATGTACCGATCGAATACTTAAATGAAGACTCAGAAAAAAAAAACAAAAAAAGAAAAAAGAAAATAAGTTATCCAAAAAGTATAGCATTTTTTTTAACTCAATAGCACAAAAGAAAAAAAAAGGAATACCTTTACGATAACAGGAACAACTTTAGGAAAACTGATTGGTAAGAGCAATCCTCTGCGTGCCAGTTCTGCCAGTGCCAAGCATCCACCATGCCATGAACCATCTCCCTTAAACATATAACATTACAAAATCAGAATGAGAGCATAAGCCACAATATTTCGACATAGAAATGTGTCTTTATTGATAGAAGCGTCTAAATGCATTATGCTTTCTATGTGACCAGCAAAAGATACATGCATGTTTGAATTGTTTTGTGTGCTCCAGAAAGTTGGGGTTTTGGATATTTTCATTCAGAAGCTAGAATAGTTTGCTGTGAGTTCTTCAGATGAGACAACAATTTCAATCAAGATATCATGGCTAATGTTCGAAGAAGTTATCAATATTCTACAACATGAGAGATTTTACATTATTTTTCTATGCTCTGAAATTATATCTTTATGGAAAACAAGGAACATAAGTAATAGGTTAGTATTCTCCATATCATTTAGATACATATCATGAGTTCCAAATTAGTAGCAAGAGACATAAAAGATGATTTTGGAAGCATACCTCACCAGGAGAAAAGAGCTCCAAAACAGATGACAAGACTTCGTCTGAGAGCGAATAAGTTAGGCGTGATGTGATGCGGCCAATACCTTTTGCAGCAGACCATCGGACAACAGTGTCCTGCATAAGTAAATGGAGCATAAATCGAATTCATCAAGAACAAATCCAGAGAAAATGATACCTCAAACAAGAAAGTTATATGATAACTTCAAAAATCTATTTGATACAGCAAAAAGGTGGTTGCATACAAATTTGTTTTTGCCTTAAATAATGAAACCAAGAGAAAAAGAATACTACTGGAAAAGACGTTACAATTGTCAGTAAGTAAACTACTTAGTGATTAGTTAATTTTGGTGAAGCACTCAAATTATTTGAACACAAACTCTAGAGTCTAGACATACCGTATCTTTCAATCCTGACAGCAGAAGTTCGATAATATCTTCTATGATATCTGGAATATCCATATATTCCTCTTCAACACAGCTTGTCTCTTGAGAGGAGTTTGCGTTAACCGAATCATTGAATTGGTTACTATCGCTTGTCACATGTAAGGAATTATTGTCTCCAAGAGTCCTTTTTGTACCCTATAAGATATCAACACAAACAAAGAATCAGTATTTGTTTGAACTATAGTACAAGATGTGTAACCAAATGTTCACACGAAACCAATGGAGTAAAGATACGCATAAAGCTATACTGTAATAATTTTTCAAGAACTTCGAACAATTGTCGAAAAACTCAATCACCGAGTCATTTCTATCATGTTTGTCAAGCAAATCCAATGTTTCTCTTCCAAGAATTTGCTTTATGTTTTTTTTCTTTTGAGAGGGAGAGAGTTTACTAAAGGGCTCAATCTAAAAATCATTCACATCAAACACTGATTTCTTTTTTAGAGATACATTCCCTACAGGCCTCTAAAAGGTTAACTTGCAGAGCTGTTTGTTAACCACCTAACTAGAATATACAATTATCAAGTCAGAAAACATACACGGGAATTGGAAATACAAAAGTTCAACTTGACTGACCACATAGCGCCATGATGCAGGACGATGAGGCAGGCAAGTAAGCCCAATCCGCTGGGTTAGCTTTACCAGATACTTCCGAAGTAAGGGACTCTTAGAAGCAGCACGAGACTTTATCAAAGCTGATGTGTCATTCCATAAATCTGCTGCAACATTCAGCAATACTGATGTGCTACCAATCTGCATTCACGGAAGAATTACTAAAAATAGCCCTTAATTTGGATCATTGAAACCCAAGCTAACAGAAACAAAAATCCATAACATGTTTAGCAATGAATTAGAACCAGAGAAAGGAAAACTGAACCTTAAAAATGGCAGCTAGAGCTTCGATCACACCTAGCAACCGGAAGTGTTCTATAACATTGTCCTCCACGGAAGAGAGAATTTTATGCGTCCAATCAATAAAACTGAAAGTTAACAAAACAACCAAATCATGTAAGTTCAATCATTACTGAAGGATGACAATAACCTGCAAAGCAAAGCATTTGGGTGCCATTATTATCATTATCCGTAAATATGTTAATACAGATCTCTGTTATCTAAATTATCATAAAATTTCGAGAGGATGAGTGGAATCCACTTGGAAGGATAGTTACTTTGAGCGTTTACACACACACACACTGACACACACACACAAAGGTTAAGATTATTATTATTATTAGGAAATGGAAAGAAAAGAAAAGACCCATAATGAACTTCCTGATTGTTCATACGTTTCTGCCTTTGAAGCTAAAGAATCAATACAATTTACAAAGATAATCTGTTTCACAACGAACATAAAAATGATGACCACTTAGTGTAAAATGGACACAACATATTCTGGTTCAAGAAGTAGAAGATGCATTGAAAGGTAAAACAGAGGACTGCCAGTAAAATCAACAGAGGTGAAGGACACAAGAATCATTGAAAGGATTTCCTTAATCGTGTTATTAGTTTCCAAGTTTGATATAAATACAAGATGGTTCTTCCGTATCAATAGTAGATTCATAGCTGAATACCATGTACACAATGCATTTTATCACTGGCAAAAGAAAAATCCTCGTTCTTCTATGTCAGTGCCTATACCATAGAGGTCACATTTTTACCTTACGGAAACGAGAAGGGAAAAGAAGAAAAAAACCTGCTAAATGCCTTCATCATATCAGGGCGTGTTAAGAGCTTCGACAGCAGCAATCCTGCTATGGTGCGCATAGGACCGGCATTTGATAAATAGTCCTTACAGATATCCAAAATCCTCACTACCAATGGAGGAGGCTCATCACTCCCAGCATAGTTGCTACTGGTTATACTAGTATCCACAGAAGATATATCAAAAGGAATCAGCACTAGAATCGAAAGCCAAAGAAGTACAATGCACTTTGTTTCCATCTCTCCGGTACTTTCCTGCCTCAGTGATGAGGCAGTATTCGTGTTTTCCTGCCTCAGTGATGAGGCAGTATTCGTGTTATGGCATTTCTCTAAAAGAGATACCACAGACTTGTATCCGCAAACTGTAACCAGGGAATAAATTATGAAGACTTGTATCCGCAAACTGTAACCAGGGAATAAATTATGATGCATATAGGCTTGATTACTTCCAAGATTTCATCAGAGGCGGCTCCTAATTCGGTTGTTCTCGAGCAGACAATAGCCATGAGAGGTGAAACTATACTCTCGAGATAAGGCTCTATCAGCTGACCTTGCTCTTGATACTTGTCCATCTACAGATAAGCGATTTAGTTTAGATTCAATGAACCATTTCCATAAAGACCACAGACTCGTAAAAAGCCCAGCACTAGTATTGTACCTTCTAAAATTAATTGCCAA